TTTGAGCATGACTCAGCCAGTCCAGCTTTGCATCCCAAGCAATGGGCTGACAAAATAGTCCCATCGTTTTCGGAAATGACCCAAATGTTCACTAAAGGATCATTCATATGCTGTGAATGCCAAACTCGTGCTCTCACGGCATACTTGCCGGCGATTACTTTGCCTACAACTGAGGTTACAAATCCCGACACCATTTGATTAAACGCCTCTAGACTCTTGAACGCCTTGAACTGCTTCTTGGTGTAGAAGCTGGTCTCAAGAACGAGGTAACTCAGCAAGTCCGACGCTTCCACAGGAGGCAAGCATTTTGGACTGAACTTCTCGGCTGGTATGCTTGCAGGGTCAACCCCAATGACAGAGATCTTTTGCAAACATCTTTCCTTCCAGCTCTCTAAGCTTTCGGCATACTCAAAGAGCACTGGGATACCTTAAGATGAATGCCAGATACTTTTATCGCTTTTTTCTTCCTGGATATTCATGTAGTTGGCGAAATAATACGGCGATAAGAGAGAGGGCTTCACTATAGAAATCGACTAATTATTCATAAATTTGACACCCGAGGGACACCAACATGGCGGACACTAACTTCAGCAAAGCTTGTGACGTCACCTGAAACCCAACCATAGAAAAATCTCTGAAATCACTGCAACTATAAAAAATTGAAATTTACAATAGTTTGATACGTGTGTCTGACTCTTATAACGACACATGGGTCTTTTACAAGAAAACATAGATAAATACTGACTTGCTCTATATATATATATATTTCAATTTAATCATCCTTTGATATGCCCTAACAGAACGATTCAACAAATACTTTTTCTCATGTCGTGTAACTTTATTTAATCTTACCCTCTTCGTATAAAGCTTTACAAACATTCTTTGTAACTCTTCTAACCTTCACACAACGACGTAGCCAAGAGGACTTCGGTATGCTAGGACGATTATGCTCATTAACAAATTCCTTCAGTTTTCTGCCCTTTCTTCTAAGACGTTTCAGAGTAGCTTCTGGTATTCTACTGGGTTGTCGATCGCGTCTAAATACACGGTTGTGTTTACATGTAAACATAATACAAGATAGCTCGTTTCGCTTGATATTTCTCGATAGAAGGTTCACTCGTATAGGATCGCTCGTAAATTGATTTCTTGTAAAGTTCGCGGGCCCACCCGTTCCCAAAACGCTCCACAAGTTTTAGTGTGGGTCTACCGCGAACGGTGTGTGTCCACAGAAGGTCAGAAACTCAATAAAATATATTTTCCAGGAGTAACTATTCGGGTCTTCGCTTTCTATTTATTCTCCTGGGAAAACCAAGAGGCCTGAAGAACAAGAATAAGTTGCAAGGCTCTATTGTTAAAAGGCTCTCGAAAAAAAAAAATGGAAAGCAAGACTGTGCGAAGCTTTCTGAGGGTAATGAAAATAGTGAGCTACGAGTAGATGGAGCAATGCAGCAAACGTTTATTTCCACTTCAAGTAAATGGATATTTGAATCTTTAAGATTTATTTTTACACCGTCATAATCTTCCGTAATGCACATTCTCTTGTTACTCGAAAATACAACTTTTATCTCATTTCATTCTAAAGCTATCAGCACGAAATATTGCAATAAACAAAAAACAATGTCCGAGCAAAAGTAGAAATTTGCAAAACAAAGTACAAGTCTTAAAATCTTTTCATGTAATTGTGAATGCATTCATGGATTTACAATCTTAGTGAGAAAAACAAATCTTAGTGAGAAAAACGTTTTGAAAGGCAAACCAAAAGTCAGACTCGTTTCCTTGTCCTTTGCGACGGTCATGCTGAAATGAGAGAGAGCTTACAGAGAGGAGTTGACAAGAGAAACTGTCATCCCCTCGCGTAGGATCGAGTCACCAAAAGAAAGGAGTCTGGTAGAAGTAGCCCCTGTCGCCATAATAATGATCTTGACAGCGGATTGTGTTGTAATAAAGGTAGAATCGGTCTCCAACACAGAATCTGTATCGACACACGTGACAAGCGAAGCAGTCCAAGTGATACACGTGTTCACGCGCCCGCATTACCATCTCAAGCGGTGGAATGATTTTCAAGCATCGAGAGCAAATTCCTGTGGCTCCAAACAGTCTAAAAAAACGAAAACAAGAGAGCGATGTTGTATGACCATCATGATTATATTTGGTAAAATAGAAAGCTAAGAGCTAGAACTTTCTTGTTAAAATGAGAATTGTTTCCTAACCCAGCCCCCCCCCCAGCCTCCCCATCTAAAAAAAAAAGATAAAGAAAGAAAGAAAGAAAGAAAGAAAGAAAGAAAGAAAGAAAGATGAATCAATTTCATATTACCGATTACGTGTTCGCCGTAGCCTTGAAATAGCAATTACTGTTTCAGATATTTTGGTTTTCGATAAAGTACTCTCCACCAAAGTAATAAAGGGAAAATAAATCGCTATGCTCAAGGTCAAGGCTTAACCGCATGATTGATATGAAACAAAAACCGGCTAATTGGCATGACAAAGCTTACAATGTGTACAATGGCGATTTTTTTAATCGGTTAATAAGGCCTTCGACTTAAGTTTTTTTTTCCCTTTTGCCCTGTTATTATCCACTTTCGTAGAAGTTATCTCCTGATAGTTAACCTTGAAGTCGCCAAAGAACATATGCCATATCATTATTGTTTCAAATTTCGGGCAATTAGATATTACAACTAAATTAAACCATTCCATAAGATAAAGGAAAACCTAGACTACGGCAAACCAGCTAAGGGAGAATGAGATTTGCCAGCTCTTCCTGTAGTATTAATTATTGCCTTGCTTAGAACAATTGTTTCGCGCATTCATCTGTATATCATTGCAGTATTCCGCACTCGAAAAGTTCAGAGAGCACTCTAAAAGCTGATATCATTGTAACTCGTTTTTTGTTAGTTTTTCATTTTGTCCGTTTCTCTCAGATTTTCACTTTCCTTAGGGTACAAAACTCGTTGCGATGAAACACTGAGACTAGCTGTCCATCAAAGGGCCGATATTGAGTACCGACTGAACCCAACCCGACTCTGTCTGCTCGAAACAAGATTAAAAAGATTCTAGGATTAACATGTAGAGATGTTTTCAAGTATTTTATCAGACTGCAAATGATTTGTGCGTTGACCATTGAGCCGAGTTAAGGTGAAGAACGCGAAGTGCTCTTTTTCTTGAAAAAAAAAAAAAAAAGAAAAATTTTGGGTCACCAAACCAATTTTTTTACTTCCAATTCTAATAAAGGTTGCTGAGTCTCAACCGTCAACATTCAGTTGTAGGACGCGAACTTTCAAATGATGAACCTAAAAAAAACACACATCTCTGACATTGTAGCCATGGATCACTCAGTATTAGCTATTCAACCAATTCTTTGACACAGAAATATATAACATGAACATGGAATTTCAGGAAATGAGCGTGTGTTCATCTGGGGTTTTATTGATGTGCGGTTCCGTAATCGCTATTAGGAGATTTAGGACGTCGCTACGGCGACACCTACGAAACCATTGGCGGAAAATTCATTTAAATTCTGCCAACAATTTCGTCGGTAGCTTGATGTATTAAAGGGTTCTGATGCTGCAAGATCTCTCCCGGTATGAAATGTAAACTCAGTGATATTTTATTAGGTACTCATTGCTGTTGCTGTCAGAATTTTGTTGAAGTCCCGATTGAATTAAAGGAACGGAAGTTGCTTAAATTGTTCTCTTTAAAACGTAATTGGTGAGGACTTCGCTGTTTATTCAATGAAACCACGAAACTGCACGATAGCCACGAAATAGTTTGAACTTGTGTCAGTTGAGTTTCCCAAGTGCTAAATTTTTATTACGTAGTTAAAAAAGGTTCTTTTCACTCTTTCCACTCCGGATAGTATGCAAACTGAAATTGCCTATCCAAAGTCAGAACTACCCTGTGAAATCGTCGGGTCCAATCATAAATAGAATATTGCTCTTTAGATAAAAGAACAACGGCTCCCAGATCCTTCAGTTCCTAGTTTAATAGCATAAATCATTCTTGGGGCATTTAGAAACTGAAGAAAAACGCTTGAAAAAAGGTAACGCATGGATACAAAAATTGACTGATCTGGTTCGTCAGCTTGCTCGGTGAGGTGTAGGTTGAGACGAAGATGCGAATGTAACAGGGAACCTAGGCATTAGAAGCTATATTGAATTGGTTGTATTTGTTCGAGCAACTCGAGAATACACAGAGCAAAAATTCGCGTGAAGTGATTAAGAAACAGTTTCAAACCGAGAAGTTCTCAAGGCACGGGAAACGATAACTCATTCCTCGACTCTATATGTAGCACCACTTTTAAAGGTCTCGGTTTCAGCTTTGAGTTGTTCAGTTTTTTAGTTAAGATTTTTAAGAGTTTTTGTTTATGAACGATAATTTCAAAAGAGTAATTTACAGGGAAGAAAAACAAGGAACAAGGAACAAGGAACAAGCCATGCCACGAAAAGAAAAACAAATTGATTGCAAATCATAAATGAAACATTGTCGGATACTCGTGGGGAATAATTCGTGGATACTTGTACGACACAGCATCATTCCCGACGAGAAACACTGAAGTCATTTTTCTTAAGTATTTGACAATTTGTTGCAGTATACATCATGTATAACTTGTGAACGTGCGGTTGGGAATCCATCTCCGATAAAAGACCAGACTGCAAACATCACAACTTTGTGACAGGGACTTTGAACGCGATGCTAGAAGAGTTTGCTTGAACACTCAGAAAGGCCCCGAATGAGGCTCTTAGCTCTTTATACCAGCCACCAGTCACACAATAAATCTTGCGCGCCTTTAAAGTACTTTCTCCCTTGTTTTACAGGTTTACCAAACCTCCTTTCTAAGCGGACAACGCGCAGCTCGTCACAAAGAAGCTGTTCATGTATTTGGATACATGCATACACACGATGACTAAGCTAAAGAACATGGTTTTACGATTTCAGCTGCCTTTTGCCTTGATTGAAACAAAGAAATGTAATTATATCGAGTATATCCTTCAGATGTGGTCAATTTTGCCGTAGGTTGTGGCGGTTTTCAATCGTTACTCAGTCTCGTCCAGTCCCCGTTTCTGTTTCGATTTTAGGCTTTCTGGTTTTGTTGACAATGTATCTATTTAGCATTGAACTTTTCAGAAGTTTGACAAGGAGTTCATTTGTGGCAGGAAACCACAGTTCCTGAAAATGTCTTAAATCTAGCTGAACTTAACGAGACTAGACTTGCTGTGGAAAATCAACAATTTTGGGGGAATTTTTTACATCAAGATAATCTAAGTCCCTTTTTCATGTTATATATCCTGAATTTTATGAAGAAACATACCTTTAAATTGAAGAACTATAACATAAAATATTCCGTGATTGTGTTTGAAACCGCATATCCTCCCACAAGAAATCTGTATTTCATATTTCTTCAAATCTAACAGCTAAAACCATAAATTATTCAGTCGTCACATTTCTCTGAGGAGAGGACATAATGTCGCGCTGACGTCGCCGCTAATTTCAATTGTCAGCGCGCGAATAAACATCCAGCTTGCCTTGTTAAGGTATTTTTTGGTGGGTTATCTTACGTTTTCCTTAAAACCAAACGAAAATAAGTCAGAATTTATACCATAGGGACGACTGCGTCAGGATTAATGATCATCTTGACGGATAGTGCCGGATAAAGATGAATTTCATTAATTTATGTTAACAGGTTTTAGGGGTTCTTGAAAGTTGTATGAACCTCGAAATCCTTTAATCCTGTTAATATGGAATACAGTTTCGCAAGACGATTTATCACAATGCACGGAAATGAAAGATTCCCAAGACAAAACATAACGCCACGATATGTTTCATGTTAAATCATGTGTTCGTGATCTGAGCATAAACATTATGAATTATTAATACCATAGACTATAGAATAAAACGTCATAGGTATATTGCTTTCGGGAAATATAATAAAAGATATTGATGTTATATATCCCTACAGGAAAGAGTTTTGCTTCATCGATAGTACGCCATTTTTAAACTTCTGATCCTAGTGACAGAGCAAAGTAAGATATCTCATCGAAGATGCAACCCTTTATTGATGCTACAATGTATTAAATGAGTCATCTAGTCCGTGCTGCTTCAGCATTACAGGAAGTTTTACAAACCCACTCGTTTTACTTTGGATCGGACTCGACTGACGAGTTTACCCTCAACCATCCGGCTTGTAGTATCAATAAAAGACTCTCTGTGTTGCTATAAAAAGAAAAATTCTTACCTGATGTAGTCTCGTTTACAAAGTATTTGATCTCCTTTGATGTAAAACTTAAAGCTCAAGTCAGACAGCTGAGTATTGCAATAGGAACACTTCAAACACTCTTCGTGCCAGAACTGGTCTAAGGCTCGCAGCAAAAACTTCCCCTCGATCTTTTTGTTACACTGCGCACAGATTTTCAGTTCCTTCGGCTTTTCCTCATCCACCTTTTCACCATTATTCTCTTTGTCTTCTGCAAGCGAGAAGCCGCTCATCAGAGCATAATTGAAATGTTTATTGCGCGCGCGGAGTCACGCGTGTGTGGCTGAGAAGCTCTGCTCACGACCGAATGGGGATTCAACAGTTCATTATATTCACAGCTGCGGCTCACTTATAATCTGTTGGCGAACAGCTTGTTGCGGCGTATAGTTTTACGCCTTTTTGCTATAATCATTTCCCTTTCGCTTCCTTGCTTCAATTCTGCGGTTTCTTTAATGCAGCACTGCAGAGAATTGAACCATTTTCAAGTTCAACACTTCAAAAATTAAATTTGCTTGAATTTCCATCGTTCATCATAACGTCTCGACTCCTTAAGAAGCGAGGAGATAAATCGCTTATATTACTGAATACATCCGGACATTCTAATACCTACTGAGAAAACTTCAAGAAAGCTGTTAAAACATTAGTTAAGCGCGAGGGCAAAATAAAAATTATAGGGTCTGGCTCAAGGTTTCAATTTACTGAGTCGTGTGGTTGATAAACTGTCTGTTATTGCCAAACACTTAAGTAATGTTTATCTTAATGTCATCAGCGATTCGACCAAGTCTGTAAAAGTTGTTTTCCTTTCAAAAATCTGTGTGTAAAACAAACTTCAAAAGTTTGGTTAAAAAAGTCAAAAGTGGCAAGGAATACTTAAAATTACAGATTGAATTATTTTGAAAAACGGTCACTGGAAATCACTTGAAGTGAGTGAATAAAGAGATTTATAGACCACCAAAAACTTACCCATATTTCACCGAAAGTGGAGCTCTATGTTTGCTCAGCAAAACTGTTCAATGGCACTGGAACACCTCAGTCCAGCTATACGGAGCTTTCTGAGACGTACACTTGCATTAAAATCGGCTTTGGATATTTAAGGATCGAGTTTCTTCCAGTAAATTCTCTGGGTCTTAATCATCAAAGGGCCTAATTTCAGAGTAGGCTCTCAAAGTGTACTAAGAGCTGGCGTTAATATTTCTTATAAATTGATCACTGCAAGCTGGATGGACTTACACCTACAAAAGCCAAAGACAATTTCACAACTTCGTAAGCCTCATCAGCGTTGCCCAAACAGATTTTGCGTCATTCGATTTTATCTCTCAGGAAGCTTTCAGAAAGTTCATGGGAATTTGAGAATTTTTTTTTTTTTTAACCTTGAGAAATATAATCTAACTTTTACGGAGGGGGTATTTTCCGGTACTGAGCTGCGACTTGACAGTATATTGCATAGTTATATATTGTTATAAGGGGATAAAAATCATTTTAATCGACAACAGGACATGGACTTTTAAGAGATCATTAAAAAAAAATACAGTTGCATCTTTTTTTTAAAAAAAAAAAAACCTCTGCTGTGAATTTAACGGTAATCACACTAGCTTATTTTAATCACTCATATCCTTCATTTCCATAGAAGCAAATTAAAAAAAAAAATTTATATACGATTTAGGAATGGTATGGGGTTCTGGTGATCGACATTCTTTTGACCCTCTCAAATACAAGAATAACCCTAACATTTTTGACGCAGAAATAATTCTTACTTTTCGGCCGCAATTTAGACTTGCGGACACTGTAAGATATGCATCACGTTGGCCGTCTTTTCTTTTTTTTTTTTCTTGATGCGGGAGATATAATCGTGGAAAGTCAAACCCCGGTTGAAAAGGAAATCCGCGTACCAACGGAGCGGAAATAATTGTTGACTTTTCAGATTGTTTCGCTGACAAGAACGTGACCCACAATCTGTCTATTGTGTGTAAACTGTGTTGTAAAGCTGCGAAGGAATTTCGAGGAATTTTAAACGTAGGTGAAAATAAGAACATATAGATGTCGTAAATTTTCCCCTCGGGAATATCACGTGGGGAGATTAGGATCAAAATAATAAATTGCTACTTCAATTCTAATTCCCTCGTTCAAGAAGAGGAATTTTTTTTTTCGCGTTAAATTTGTGAAAACAACCTCGATTTTCATTCCGGTTCAATTGGAAGCCCTTTTAATTCTTTCTACAGCTTTCTTCAGTCGTCCCTGCTAACTCTATACTCAGTTCAAGCTAACTTTGTTTAGACAGGGCTCTCCATATCCTCTGCCTTGTTTTCGTGACTGCTTTCAGGACAGATTTCAGTGTGTTTTCAACACTCAATCAATGTCAAAGCAAGATGCGCTATTTTGAAGCGAGTAAGTGTTTTTGTAACCTCAGCACAGCAACACGTTCGACAGCTACCTTAGGGCACGTCCGAGATGGAAATGGTAAAAATCTACTTCTCGAGATTTGGCTGTCATAAATAAACCAGCTGTCACGAGAACTGTGTGTTGAGGTTTTTTGGGTGTACGAAGAGTTTGGTTACTTTAAGTTTGGGATTAAAGCGGAATCGAAACTCGGCATTTTGTTACTGTCAGTTCGAGGTACTAGGTATGTGTAACATTTAAGGCAGGAAAGCATTTGGGATGGAAAAACGAACAGCTCAAAAAATGAACAAGTAAATAGATAAAACAAATAAGGATAATAGAGAACACAAACACAAACATTCATTTTATTTGAATGCGTACAATCATTTTTATTTAAAAGTACAAGAAAGGGCGTTAAAGAGTCGGCGGTGAATGCTGAAGCTACATGAATTCGGCTTAATTCGTCCACATTACTGTCCTTTTGCTTTGTTACCAAATAGCTTGGCATTTCTGCACAGCCACTGCACTGCGTTCATTTTTATGCACAGAAGAATTAAGCTATCGAGCCTTGCTTAACAAAATGATCTGTGGAAGAGACGGAAAAGCAGAATGAAAGATAATGTCGTCCTAACAATACCCTGTTTAGAAAGCTACGTAGCTATTCTTGATGCGCAGATAAAGTTGGCTGATTGATTCATAAATTGTTTGAGAACCTTAAGAAAGCTTTGCGTATGAAGCATCACGCTTGTGAATTTAAATCACAAAATTTCCCTCGATTGAAGTGTACATAAATTAATCGCCTTTGAAAATAGAAATAGTTCAACCCAAACTCTCTCCAATATAAAGTAAAGATTCTCCTTAAATTCATTTCACCTGTAACAAAAAGCGCTAGGACTGACTTTCAAAAGTGCGTTTTGGATCGATCCCTCCTTCATGGGTGCGCTTGAAGACCCATTATTTTCGTTCAATACATCATTGACTAATGCTTCTTTTTGTTTGAATTCTTAAAACATTTTCAACTACCATTTGATAAATCTGTTTAGCAATGGACTTGTAGACAATATCCTATCTTTGTTTTCGAAATGTGATAAACCCGTGATAAATACTAACTTGCAAAGGGTCTCCCTAGGAGTCGCTTAAGGGGTGCTCCAAAACCACCTGGTGATAACCCGAATATTTGGCACAAATAAACTTCCATAAAGGATACATTATCAAAATTTAGTAAAAGCCTACGTCATGTAAAATTTATGGCAGGCTTGGGGTACATCTAATTGCAAAGGAAAGCGATACTTTTAGCTTCTAATTCACCACATCTATTTTTGTTCAAGTAATTTACTTAGTGAGTATGACTTCCTGCGTAAATCAGAGATGTCTCGCGTAAATATAAAAGACTTTCTTAATTAACTTAAAATAAAAGGAATATTGCATTGTCTCCTTTAAAACTTTCTCAGCCTCACTTCATAAGACTACAATTTGAGACTTCTCTCTCTGAATAGAAGGTTAGATTTTCCCGTGAACGGAACATTTCAAACTTGTTTTAAAAGAATAATGGAAAAGACTTGAACTTTCACTCACTCTCCTACAAAAAAAAAAGGAGGTAAAAGTAAAATACTATTTTCAACAAAGCAATAACAAGGTAGAAGAAAGTTAAGCCGGAAACTCGATCTTAGTATCTTCGCTAAGTCGTGTTTGGATAAGTAGAAGCCGAGAAGTCTTGATGCAAGGAAATACTCACTCTAATTCCTATTCAAGACTTAAGAAAGCTTAAATTAGTTACAGCTTTATCATTCCAGTTAAAAAGACTTTAGAGCCTAAGCATATGTAAACTTGGAATCTAAAGGTGCTTTATTGCTAACAAGTGTTGCACAAAAATTATGAGTGTTTCCAATAAACTCAGCGAAGTGAATGTAAAAAATGAGAAAATTGATGCACAGCATGTGGAAATTTACTCTTTGCGATCACGATTGCGACTGACGAAATACTGAGGTCAAGCTTGCTAAAACTCCAACCATGTTTCAGTTCTATTGACACCGACATGCTGTGTGCTGATGTATCATATTGGTAGCAGACTGAACTAATAATAACACTCTTTATATGAATTTGCAATTGTTATTGAAGAGGCTCTCAGCAAAACTAAATAAGAATAATTTTCAGGATACGTCACTGATGAAGATCTGGAATTCACTAAAGAAAAGCGTTTATCTTAAGTCCAGAAGGGCAAAAACGAAAGAACGAGTTCCCCTTGATTAAGTCGGAATATTTTTGTAAACTATTAAACCTATCATAAAAGCATGTAGAAATATCCGAAACGTAAACTCAGAGTGCTCTTGACGGCGGCACTTGTGAACTATGTTGATGGTTATTCTTTGTAGAAGGGAAACCCACTCGTCATTGCATAATATTTTTTTGGAGAAAATAAACCGCTGTGTATGGTTTAATTAACTTCCAGCGTATATGCAAATAATCAAAAATTGATTCATGGTTACCCCGAGTATATCCAGGTAAGAATGTACGCGGAAAGTTTAAAGAGGATGAGAGAAACGTAATAGTTACTCGCGGCGCAACCGAGAACAACTTTTACTTCTCTCGTGCTCTTCAAACTTCCAAAGTGTATCTATACCTCGATATACGCAAGGTTACAAGCATGAAACAACTGTTCTATAACATAGCACTCAAATTTTGTGCACAAGAAAGGAGTTATTTACAATTTTGTCGGGCCTACCCAATAATCGCTTGCTACGCAGAAAACTACGAATAAAATGAGAGGCAAAAATGGCCAAGAATCATATCCAAGCTAAAGATTTTTTTTAAAGAGTTGCTAAAGGACCTAAAGTCCTTTAGTAACTCTTGCTTGAATCGTTGTTCTTCACGGCTAGAAAATTGCGTCGCGTTGTGTTGAAAATTCTTGAAGTTGTACCACATGAAGACAAATTCCACCTTAAGACAATACGTTTAGGACATATCGACACTTACAAGTTATATTTACCGTTCCAAAGAAGAGTCCAAAACTTCAAAAGCCTCAGTTGAAGTTGGCAAGTTCGGTTTTCATTTTCCAGCCATAATGTGCGTTGCGTTTGGAAATCGAACTACGTTTAACTCCAAAGCTAATTTCGTCGCCTGTAAAAGCTAAACGTCAATTGTTTTCCGAATTGCTTCCTATTTAGCATATTCACTTTTCATTTTGAGCTCCAAAAGGTCTATCTCAATCTATAGGGAGCGAAAACCGCATCCTGAAAGTTTAACTGAAGCTAAACTAAACGGGAACCTTGCCGAAACATACAAGTACCCAGGTCATCGAATTAACGCAAGGCCGTGCCTCCATGGGGACTTTGACCATGATGGCTGGATTATAATCAGATAGGGCAAATGCGCGCGCTATGTTATAATTCCTGTATGTACTTATTCAAGTTGGAAGTTGGCCAACTATTCTAAA